CGTTATTTTTAATGTGTTGTCAATTAAAAATAAGAAGGTTCACATATTGTGAACGTTCACAACACTACATTAGATGAGAGAAAATTTTTCGGAAAGGTGTTGTGAACGTTCACATCAGATGAGAGAGAATGTTCACATTATTTTTAATATGTTTTCAATTAAAAATATATTCACATCAGATGAGAGAGAATATTCACATTATTTTTAATGTGTTGTCAATTAAAAATATATTCACATTATATAATAACATAAAATAATAATATCAATATTATTTAATTTGTGTATGAAATTTCTTATACCTTAATCCTTTCCCTTCTCTCTCCTTTCCTAACATTAAATATCAATATTAAATAAAAGAGTATAAGAGTCTAAGAAAATAGTGTAAATTAAGAAAAAATGGGAGCATCTATTTACACACAGCACTCTCTCTCTATACACATCCTTCACACACAACTTTTCAATACACTCTCTCATTAAGTGTGTGGGAAGAGGGGATATGGTGTGTACAAATAGAAGCTCCCAGAAAAAAGATTTTATGAAATAAAAATATAAATACATAGGACTAAATGGGTTAAAAATTTCTTAATAGACTTCTTGATTTAGAACACTTTTAAATAAAATTTATAGTAAAAATCCCTTCATTGAAAATTTAATTTAAGTGAAATTTTATTTTAATTTTTATGATTTTAACTTGAACAATTTAAACTCTACATTTTCATTTTGTAACAATACAGTTCCTCAGCTACCTAGTGTTAGAGTTTTAAAGGAAAAATGACACGTGCATAATTGGAAGGACTAAAGTATAATTTGAAAGTTTTGCACATGACCTTTTTCTATTCAAAATGTTAATGGCCCATGATTAGGAGATAATATTGCAACAAAATTTAAAAAATATATAATTCAAATTATTCAAATGGAAGCAACATAAATTAAAGTGACGCTTTGCTCATTATATGAATCAGTAGTATAATTTTATTTAAAGTGTCGATTTAGTACTTCGTCTGTCCCAAATTGTTTGCGTGGGGAGAAAAATAAAAATTTTAAAATAATATATTTTTGTGTCAAGTTTTTTAATTTTTTATTTACAAATTAAAAATATTTAATGAAATCTTTTAATAAGTTAAAAAAAAAACTAAATACTTTTTAAATACAAAATATATTATTTTTCAATTTTCAAGTGACAAATAATTTGAGACTGAACAAAAGTATATGAATTATGAGTAATGTTAGAAATCAATTAGTGTGTTTAGTTTCAATTTTCTGTAAATGGAGATTTTTATTTTTCGTATTTTTTTATTTATAGTGAATATTTTTAAAATTTTAAGTAAATTTTTTTTTTTACTTTTTTAGATACACCTTACTTAGATGTATTTAAAAAATAAAATATTTTTAAAAAAATATTTTTAAAAATTAATAAATACACAAGAATATGAAAAATGTACTAAATTCTTGTATTTTTTCATTTTTGATATTTAATGAATTTTTTTAAAAAAAATATAAATATTATACTTTTTAAATGTATTTATGTTATATGTATCTAAAAATTTTAAAATTACTTAAAATATTTTTAAAAATTCAATAAAAATAAAAAATAAAAATAACCACACCTGTGGATATCAGTTTGGTAAAAAAATTTGATAGCTTTGTTGTTGTTGGGTAGCGTTTTTTCATGAATTATTGTTTGAATAATATTATATATATCAATTAATGTACTAACGGTATTCTTAGCATTACCCTTTGTAATTGGAAAATGCAATAGGCGTCAAATTATTTACTAAATAAATGATAAAATGTCTCACATGGGTGTGGGGTTTACAAAATTGTGGACTCTATAGACATTTTATTTGTTTGGTAGAAAATTTGATATTCCTAGCATTATTCTTTGTAATTAAAAACTGCTATAGACCTCAAATTTTCTACTAAACAAATGATCAAATATCTCACATGGGTGTGCAGACTCCATATGAGACATTTGGTCATTTGTTTGATAGAAAATTTAGTATTCCTAACATTATTGTTTATAATTTGTATCGGTGGTGCTACATATACCAATTAGTATACACATTAACGTACCAATTAGTGTTATGATATTATTATTGACCACATTTATTATACAGATTATAAATATCCAAAATTATACAAATAATAACACATCATCTATTAATATACTAATATATATATTAATTGGTACATTTAATATTGTTCAATTTGTATAATAGGTGAATCGGTAATAATGACTAATACTAATTAATTTATTAATGTGTACATTAGTTAGTCCATGTAGCACCGTTATTGTTCACTGAATGAGGAGTGTTTTGGGAGTTTGATAAAAAAAATTAATTTTTTGACTTTTTAACTTTTTTGTGTAAAAAAAATTAAAAAGTGAAAAAATTGAGGCGCCGTTTGGTAAGACTTTCTAACTATGATTTGAGAATATGAGTTGTATTTTGAGTTTGTGTGTTTTGAAATTATAATTTGAGTGTAGAAAATTTGTTTGGTTATGATTTTTGAATAAAGTGTTGAATTGATTGTGAAATTGAGTTTTGAAAGTTTGATTTGACATGTGAAGTAAGAAAATTTGTTTGGTTATGAGTTTTGGAAAGAGTTTTCAAAACTTAGACCACACTGCCCGTTTAGTGATCAGCTGGAGAGCACAAGCAGAATAGATGGCTAAAGTAACCTGAAACTGAAAGAAAAAGCTCCGGCGGTGGTTCTTCCACCCGGGGGTACTCCGACGATCAAGTCAGTATATCTCTCAAAGATAATCAAGTACTAAATTAAATACTCAAAGTATATGTTACATACCTTAGACCCATGGGGGTACCTCTCTTTTATAATATACTCAATCCAAGTCCCACTAGAAGTATGACTTCTATGGATTCTAGTTCACTGTTTACTCTGGACTCCTTTAAGTGATATAGATAAACTTCTTGAGAGTGTTATCCTTATCTTGGTTCAATCCCCTTTGTGCCTTAGGACTCTTGCCCCATATCTCGGATTCCGATATCTTCGGAGATGACCTCGGCTCCTCCGAGATTACCTCGGCTTAACTATCAGGGCACGTGGCACCTCGGCTGACACGTCGGGGTCACCATGCCACGTGTTGGTATACAGAAAATATATCCCCACATTATATATATCAATAAATGTATTAATGGTATTCTTAGCATTATCCTTTGTAATTGGAAAATACTATAGGCGTCAAATTATTTATCAAACAAATGATCAAATGTCTGAGTGTGGGATTTACAAAATTGTGGACTCTATAGACATTTTATTTGTTTGGTAGAAAATTTGATATTCCTAGCATTATCCTTTGTAATTGAAAAATGCTATAGATCTCAAATTTTCTACTAAATAAATGATCAAATATCTCACATGGGTGTGCAGACTCCATATGAGACATTTGGTCATTTGCTTGATAGAAAATTTAGTATTCCTAATATTATCTTTTTATAATTTGTATCGGTGGTGCTACATACACCAATTAGTGTACACATTAACGTATCAATTAGTGTTATGATATTATTATTGACCACATTTATTATACAGGTTACAAATATCTAAAATTATACAAATAATAATACATCATCTATCAATATACTAATATGTATATTAATTGGTATATTTAATATTGTTCAATTTGTATAATAGGTGAATTGGTAATAATGACTAATACTAATTAATTTATTAATGTGTACATTAGTTAGTCCATGTAGCACCGTTATTGTTCACTGAATGAAGAGTGTTTTGGGAGGTTGATAAAAAATAATTTTTTTGACTTTTTAATTTTTTTGTGTAAAAAAATTAAAAAGTGAAAAAACTGAGGCGCCGTTTGGTAAGACTTTCTAACTATGATTTGAGAATATGAGTTGTATTTTGAATTTGTGTGTTTTAAAATTATAATTTGAGTATAGAAAATTTGTTTGGTTATGATTTTTCAATAGAGTGTTGAATTGAGTTTTGAATTGAGTGTGAAATTGAGTTTTGAAAATTTGATTTGACATGTGAAGTAAGAAAATTTGTTAGTTATGAGTTTTGGAAAGAGTTTTCAAAACTTAATTCAAATTGTTATAACTCATAACAAAACATGCTACTTTCACACTATTGAAAATTCTGATCAACACTCATAACCAAACTCTTTTTAAAATTCAATTAAAAAAATTATTATTAACAGAAAATAACATTAATCAATTTTTTAATTGAAAATATTACAAAGGAAATAATTTTTTTTCAAAATAAATATTCAAAAAATTTAAATCATAAATATTTAAATAATCTACAAAATTTAATAAGCAAAAAATTAAAATAAATATTCAAAAAATTTAAATCGTAAAAATTTAAATAATTTAAATATTCAATAAATTTAAATAATTTAAAATTTTAATATTTTAAATTTAAAAACAACTCTACACTCAAATTGTAACTAAACACATAAAACAAAACTCAATTAAGAAATTATTTTTAAAACTCATAACCAAATACATAACTCGAAACTCCATATTATTTTCACAATTCTACACTCAAATCGCAACCAAATACATAACAAAAAAAATTAAAATATTTAAAAATATTTTTATAAAATAGAGTTTGAATTTATTTTTATAAAATATTTTAAAATTAAAAAAATTAAAAATCATAATATTTTGAAATTAAAATATTTAAAAATATTCAAAAAATTTAAAAAATCGTAACATATTTAAATATTAAAATATTTAAAATCTTAACAAAATTAAAATATTTTTAAAATATTGATTTGAATTGATTTTTGAATTATGTGTTTGGTTATGAATTTTGAAAAGTAATAATTATGTTTTGAATTGAATTTTGAGAAATAAGTATAGAATTATAATTTGAAAACTCAAAACAAACACCACATTCAAATCAATGGATAAAATTATAATTTGAGTGGTTACTAAACGGAGCCAAAGTTTTTACTAAAATTCTTTCCAAAGACCCCGAATGAATGCCTAATAATTATTTGAAATGACATAAAATAAAAGTTTAAATGGGAATATTTACGAAGCCGTCATTGTCACTGTCTCGTCTCACGCCCGGCGGGAGAAGTCAAATGACTTTCCTGCTAGAAATCGCGTTGGAGAGTAGTGGTCCTACAATCTTTAGGTTTCTCATCTAATTTTCCCGGAAACTTGCAGTTTTTCACGGGAAAATTCACTTTTCAGGGAAAACAACTTCGCGGTTCGGGGATTGAATACTGATTCTCTCTTGGTTTTGCCGAGGTGTTCTTGGATTTTCACGGACCACTCCAAGTAAGCTGATCAAATTTTGTATATACATATATATGTGTGTGCGCGTGTGTGCGCGCTTGCTTGCTTGTGATTTTAGCTGGATAAAGAAATTGTAGTTTTTATTGATTTGAATTTTGATATATCTTCTATGCATTGTCAGTTGCCGAATTTAGATATTTGATAGTTTTAAAAAAAGTTTGTTTGGTTGGCGAGAAAATGTAGGTAAAGTAAATTTCTATTTGTATTAAAATATTCAATTTTGATGTCAGTAACAATTGGCTATGTTTTCTTATTTGTAGTTTTTCCCTTTACCTTTGGTTTATTGCGAATTAGAATGGAAGGTAAACTCTGTTTGGTTGCCAAGAAAATGGATGGAATTTAAATCATGAATCTAGGGGGTTTCATTGTCTGGGAGCTGCAAAGCTATATACTACACTCAACTATATCGATTTCAATTGCTTGCAAAGTCAAACTGATTATTGAATTTTTTTTCCCACTTTTTGAGTAAAAAACAGTTTTGATAAACGAGCCAAACAACCAGAGGAATAGTTAAAATTGTTCCAGCTTGATTTGAAAATTTTAATGAGTTTCAAAATTTGTTCAAGCTTGATTCATTAAACTTTCGAGGCGATCTCAAACGAGTTTTTGTTGAGCCAAACTCGAATAGTTCGATATTTTTATGTAGTATTAGGCTTATCAAACTGAGCCGAATGAGTAATTAACTGTTCAAGCTCGGTTCAAAAATTGGAAAAAGATTGAGGCCTCGAACGTGGCTCGTATTGTGTGTGTGTGTGTGTGGTTTTTTTTTTTTTTTTTTTTTTTTTTTTGAGACTGTTGGTTTGGTTGTTTTTATTATTATTTTTTTATTTATTTGTTGGGTTGTATTAGTTTGGTTTTTTTTATTTATTTGTTGGGCTGTTGTTATTTTATTTTTATCTTCCTGATTTGAAATAAAAATATAATAGAGTCTCGTACAAAACTATATGGAATTAACAAATTTTAACCAGCAGTCTAACTGATCAAACAATTTTATCACCCAATCAGTCCAACCCAACTCACTCACCTTATCAAACTACATAGGCTAAGTTGTTGTTTTTGTTGTTGTTGTTCTTGTTTTATTTTTATTTTTTTTTATTTGTTGGGCTGTGTTGGTTTGATTTTTTTATTTTTTATTAAGGTTTAGATTTTAAGGTACACTTAACCACCCTTTCAAAAAAAAAAAAAAAAACAAACCAAATCAACATAGCCAACAAAAAAAAAAAAAAATCCAATTCGAGGCAAATTCGCGCCTCTCTTTTCGAGGCCTTTAGCACGGCTCTTGAAAATTGTAATGAACTTCAAAATGTGTTCAAGCTTGGTTTGTTTATTTAACGAACTGAGCTCGAACAAGCTTTTAATGAGCTGAACACAAATTGAGCTTGAACTGTTTGGTTTGTTTATCACCCTAGTTAGAAAACAAAAAAGAGCTTAAAATTCAAAAACTTTCTTCTTTCCTTTTCCGTCATTTTTCTTGGCAATCAAATGGACGGTAGATAGTCCTTTCAATATAATGTGAGCTCTCCATTAGGCTATTTCTCTATTTGATGGCTATTGTAATTGCAAAGTTCAGTTGGAGTGCACTCTGCTTTCCTCTGCATCTGTTTTGTTATAATTATTACTAACTTTTTTTTTTACTTCATTTTTAATCATGAAGTTGGAATTTGATGCAGGCCCTTGCACCAAAATTTTTACCACTTTGATCGGTGATCAAATTCAATAGCCCCATACACAGTAGGATTGGAGTTGAGGGTAGTGTTTCTATCCTCACTCTACCTATAATGAGATGGCAAACAATGTAATTACTAGTGCATCGCTCGTTCTAGCTTCCGAAATCCTCTCTGAGACGATCCTGGCCATATCTGAAGCCATGAATGCCACCAAGTCAGTCCTTATTCAAAAGGAGAATTTCAACAAATTTACAACTTACTTGGAGAGAATTGCATTTGTCCTGAGAGAATTGTTCAAGTCAGATATAAAAACTTCAGTCAGCTTAAAAAATGCGGTAGAGATTCTTAATGGGGAGATCAAAGTTGCCAAGCAACTAGCTCTAAATTGTGGTAATAGAAACAAGGTCTATCTCTTATTCAATTGCCGGAGAATTGTTAAACACTTGGAGAGCAGTACAAAAGAAATTAGTCAGGCTTTAGGCCTCATCTCTTTGGCTTGTTTGGATGATCCATCATCGGTTATAAACGATGAGGTTAGTATGCTATGCAAGAATATGTTGGAAACTGAATATCATTTGACGGTAGCAGAAGAAGAAATCTTGGAGAAAATTGAGTTGGGAATAGAAGAGAGGAATGTTGATCAATCCTATGCAAATGATTTGATCATTCGTATAGCTGAGGCTGTGGGAATCTCAACTCAGCAGGCAGAATTAAAGAGGGAATTTGAGGTACTTAAAAGTGAAATGGACAATGATGAGCAGAGGGAAGACGTGGTGAGTGCTTTACAGATGGAACGAATCATTGCGCTGCTTAGTAAGGCCGACATGATTACAACCCACAAGGAGAAAGAGATAAAGTACCTAACGAAGCGTAGTTCTTTGGGTAGGCAGGAATTGGAACCTCTCCAATCGTTTTATTGCCCAATCACGGGGGATATTATGGTGGACCCTGTGGAGACTTCCTATGGGCATACTTTTGAGAGAAGTGCAATACAGAAGTGGTTAGCAGATTGTAACCTTTGTCCTATTACCAAGAGTCCATTGAACGCATCACTTCTGCGAACCAACAAAACTCTCCAAAAATCAATTGAAGAATGGAAGGACAGGAATACAATGATTACGATTGCTTCCATGAAAGTGAAAATACAGTCGGACGAGGAGCAAGAAGTACTTCATTCTCTCAGCAAGCTGCAGGATCTATGCATGGAAAGAGAGTTGCACAAAGAATGGATGATAATGGAGGACTATGTACCGATTCTTGTTGGTCTTCTTGGTGCTAAAAATTTTGAAATAAGAAAGCATGCTCTTGACATCCTTTGCACCCTTGCAAAGGACAATGAAGACAACAAGGTATTTCTTACCTCAACCTGAAGAGGCTTAACTCGAATCTTGAAGTCGACTGTTTTAATTTGTCTGATGAATAGTAACTAAACATGCTTGAGTTTTCTTTATGTGGCTCTCTGTCGTTTGCCCATATGATATCTGTCAAACAGTGTTAACAAATGAAGATATCTTAGAATCTATCTTTTTCCTTCTGATAATATATGATAACACCAACAGCGTGTTGCCTGTTAGTCAATTTTTGTGTTCCCAATTCAGTTTTGATCTTACCCTAGTCATGGTAGTTCCTGTAATTTTTTTTTTTTTTTGTGTGTGTGTGGGTAAAGGAGTGGTTTATTTCCAAAAGAGAAAAGATATACATTGAAGCTCAATAGAAAGCATTCAAGTCTACAAACTACAAAGGCTAAAACCTCTACCTCTAAGAGGCTGCAATCAAAGGCCTACGAGGCCTAGGCTCTGCAAACAAAATAAACTCTCACAACCGGAGAGCCTAGCTCTAAATTTAAGTAAGCTCTCACAATATGAGAGGGTAGGTTAGCTAAGAAATCTTGGTAGATCTTGTATGATCTGTATCTTCCTAAAGTATTTGATTATGTTTTTGTTACCATTACCAGAACTATTTTGTTGGTCTGATGAGCAGTTAGGGTTTGTGTCTTCCTTCAAATTGTGTACTTTTTGGTCTGTTTTCTTAGATCAGAACTCTTTCTCTCGCAGGACAGAATTGCTAAAGTAGATAAAGCTGTTGAATTTATTGTTCGGTCCCTTGCACGTAAGGTTGAAGAGAGCAAGTTAGCATTGCAGTTGCTGTTGGAATTATCAAGAAACGGTGTAGTTCGAAACTTAATTGGAAGGGTTCAGGGTAGTATACTTCTACTAGTGACTATGTCCAGCAGTGATGATACTCAAGCTGCAAAAGATGCACATGAGCTTTTGGAGAATCTCTCCTTTGATGATCAGAATGTTGTACAGATGGCAAAGGCAAATTATTTTGGACCTTTGTTGCACTTTCTTTCTTCAGGTATTCCCTCTGTTTCCACTTCTATTGTCAAATTCTTGACACCATCATCTGAAAATTTATCAGGTACATGCATCTTTTTTTTTTATTTTTTGGATAATCCAAAAAAAAGAAAGATATATAATGAAGTTCGATACACATCTTTTGTAGGGAGCACAAAAATAAACAAAAACAAACTACTCCCATCAAAAGAAACAAAACTAAGCCTATAGAAGACAAAACCAATATTCACAACAAAAATGATTCAAAATTTCCCTCTAACACTCTTCAAGTTATGAAGTTTCGCTTTGAGTTTTCTTCTGTTATCCTCCTTTGTAGTCTCTCCATTACTGGGGTTACTTGGAGATAGACTCCCTCCATTTTTTAGGCTCTTCATTTGGCACAATAACTCTTGACTTGATTCTCTGTTCCCTAATTCTCCCATATTACATGATTCAAGGACACCAAAGGCATTAGATGTTGAGGGGGTGGTAGACTACGTCTCTCTCTCTCTCTCTCTCTGTTTATCATTGTTGTTGAACCTTACCCACCGTCTCTCCCCTTTTTCTTCACCTCTTCCCAATTAATCGGAATTTGTATTTTAGTCTCCTTGACTCTCCACTCTTGTTTGAAAGAGGAAGGATTCAAAGTCTTTGACTTTTGAGGGCATAAATAAGTGGTATGACCAAATGTCTTACAAACATCACACCTTTGATGCTTCCATGGAACCTCAACTTGAATCTCATACGGGTCATCATAACTGAGATTTATTTTGAAAGACTCAGGGATCTCTTTATTTGCTAGCACTTCAATACATATTCTCACAAACGTAAGTCTGCTTCTCTTGAAAGTAGGCCCATCCAAATAAAGAAGAGTTTCCGTGATGCTAACAATGTAACCCAAACCCTCTTCAATCCAAAGCTCCAAAGGAACATTATACAACGTCACCCACAATAGCACACTTGCTCACATTTTGTTAGTTTTAGTTCAGGTTGTCATTTTTTAACAACAATCAATCCAGCCCCAACGTAATAGAAGCCATCTTCCAAAATTTTGTCCATAGCCTCTTCACTTTTTACTTTAAAAATAAAAAGGCCATTATCAATGGAGACAACATCCTCAAGCAAATTCCCCCAAAGTTTCTCTACCCAAGTTTTCACATAATGGAAAAAGAATCTTTTATCAATAAAGTATCCAACCAAGGCATTTTCCTAATGGAAAAACCCTTGTTTGGAGATCTCAACCGGGACATTGTACATGCCATCTACTAGGTTCTTAATCTTATGGGCACCTATCTTGTACTTCAATTTTGACACCTTGTTAATCTCTTCTTTAACTAAAGAGCTCCAAGCTTGTAGAGGCTTACCTGATATAGCTTGTGTATCACCATCAAGACATTTACCCTTGTTAGATTGTGTGTCTTCCATATGTAGTTCAACCGAATCTTCATTTCTACAAGCTCAAACATTTTCATCACTCTTCCGTTGCTTGGTGCCCATTACTTCTCTCCTCTGATTATCATATTTGCATCTTTGTATCTGCCCTAAATCATTGTCATGATGAACCATGTGAAACTTGGTCATGTTCTCTGGCTTCTGCATTATCCCTTCTTTTCTTTTCTTTTTTTCTTTTTTTTATTATTTTATATATTGATATTGCTTTAGAATTGTGTTTTCAAATTAGTTAATTTACGTTTCTTTTCTTTATCTATTTTATTAGACCATAAATATTCAGCCCCAACTGTAACTAATCGTCCAAAGAGTAATTTGCTTGGTGGTTCCTGAATTTCAGAAAATGTTGATTCTACATGTTTAAGGACTAATCATCCAAAGAGTAATTTGCTTAGCCGTTCCTGAATTTCAGAAAATGTTGATTCTACATGTTCAAGGAAGGTGTCATGGGTTATTTATCCAAAAAAAAAAAAGGAAGGTGTCATGGGTTTTGTTACTTCTTAGGAACAAGATTTGCATAATTCTTTTAAAAGTCATTCATGTGAACAGGACTTTGGTTACTAATGAACTCTTAGAGGACAATACTAAACATTAGTCCTCTTTCAAGTTTCAAGGCTTCCTTTGGCATCTGCTTATTAGATGTCTTCTTTTTTGTTCAGCTTATTTTCATCTTTAGTGAATTTTTTTTAAAAATTGTGCTAAGTTTTTTTAGTCGATGACCCTGAAATTTTTAAAAATTAAAAACAATTTCAAAAAAAGTTCACAATAAGCCAATTTTTTATATAAAAGAATTAAAAAGAAAATAAAAACTGGAAATTTCTTGTTAAATTGTTCTAACAGGAGGTTTCCAATCCTTAATATAAATTGCCTAGTCACAACTGTATTACATATTAGAATTCTCCAATTAATATGCTAATCAATATATATGTGTGTTGCAATTGATGTAAAAATAGATTATCATAGGTGCATTTGAAGTTATTTTAAAAGTATATATATTCTAAAATTTTAATTTAATTGTCATTCTAGCTAAAAATAACTGCAAATATGTTTCTGAAGTTAGACATGTTCCTATCAATAACTTATAAAATCGGGTTGAGCTTGTAAACTACTCAATAACTTATAAAACCAGGTTGTTTAGCAACAAAATGTGCAATTATACTTGTTTTGATGCAGGAACTGAAAGTGTTAAAATGATGATGGCCAAGACTTTATCAGAAGTCGAGTTGACCGATCACAGTAAATTGTCTCTATTTAAAGACGGGGCGCAAGGACCGCTTATGCAATTGCTCTCACACGCAGATATAGAGATGAAGAAAGTGGCCGTTAAAGCTCTTCAGAACCTCTCAAGCATGCCACAAAATGGACAGCAGATGATTAGGGAAGGCGCCGTGGGCCCACTGTTTGAACTTCTCTACTGTCACAGGTTATCGTCATCAAGTTTTCGCAAGCAAGTAGCAGCTACGATTGCGCACCTTGCCATATCAAATACTTCCCCTGAAGAAGATGAGATGCAAGTATCAATATTTGAGTCGGAGGAAGATGTTTTCAAACTCTTTTCCCTCGTTTCATTGACAGGACTGGATGTACAAGAAAGCATTCTCCAGATTTTCATTGTGACGTGCCAATCTTCCTCTGGTTTTGAAATCAGGACTGCATTAAGACAGGTATGCATGACTCTCAGTAACAAACTTCTTCTTCTTCTTCTTCTTCTTCTTTTCTGAAAATCTTTGTTGTTGTGTGTTTGTTTCTCTGCATAATGAACAAATTTTATGTCCTGCTAGTATTTGTTTTGTCATTTTTCTGAGGAAATTCAGCTATATTCATGGTTATGTCTGAAACTATGAACAACTGTTTGGTTGTGCATTTTGTTTTTTGGTTCTGGTTTCATGGGGAAAAAATATATTGTTTGGCAAATTATTTCCAAAAATTGTTTTTTGGGGAAATTTTCAGAAACAAAAAACGAAAAATTAAAACAAAAACAAACAAGCTAGGCATCCATCACAGAATCATCACTTGTTGTAGTATAACCTGACTACCGTTTCTTTGCCTTCGCCGTGTTTTAGTCCTTGTGGGATTACAAAGCTTCCACATCGGAGCATTTTGAACTCGCTTTTGAAATTCAGAAATCATTTTCATTTTTCTATCATATTGCTCACAAACCTAAGCGAAGCAAAATCTAGCTGCTATTTTGATGGTTATAGTTGTGTCTATTTTATTCATCAGATTTCTGCTACTAGAGTGCTGGTCCAACTATGTGAACTCGACGACTGTGCAGTCAGGGCAAACGCAGTGAAGCTCTTCTGTTGCCTGACACAAGATGGTGATGACAAAACCTTTTTGGAGCACGTGGGCCTGAAATGTATCGAGACCTTGTTAAAAATTGCAAAAACTTCTAACAAAGTCGAAGAGATTGCTTCTGCAATGGGTATCGTCTCTAACCTCCCTAAAAATCCTCAGATGAATGAATGGCTTCTTGATGCCGATGCACTTCAAGTCATCTTCACTTGTCTAGTGAATGGTGATACTGATACTTCTTCGTACAAAAGAGAGGTTGTAGAAAACGCTGCTAAAGCTCTCTGTCGTTTTACTCTCCCAACAAATCAAGAATGGCAGAGGAAAGTAGCCGAGGCTGGCTTTATACCCGTGTTGGTACAGTTGCTAGTATCTGGATCTGTTTTCACAAAACAAAATGTTGCCATTTCGCTAAAACAGTTTTCAGAGAGTTCCTCGAGTTTAAGCAGGCAAGCAAAAAAGCAGGTGGTTTTTTTCGGGTGCTGCTTCGCCTCACCTGAAATTGTGTGCCCTGTGCATGGGGGCATATGCACGCTCGAGTCCTCATTCTGTCTTCTAGGGGCCAATGCCGTGAAACCCCTCGTGAGGGTTCTTGAAGAACAAAACAGTGCGTGTGAGGCGTCTTTGGATGCTCTCTTGACATTGATTGAAGGTGAACAATTGCAGAGAGGTAGCAAGGTGTTACTTGAAGCCAATGCCATTGTTCCGATGATAAAATTGCTGAGCTCATTAACGCCGACATTGCAAGAGAAAGCTCTGAAGGCTTTAGAGAGGATGTTTCGATTGGTTGAATTGAAACAAAAATATGGGGGATCGGCAGAGCTGCCATTAGTTGACATTACTCAGAGAGGAACTAGTAGTATGAAATCTCTAGCTGCCAAGACACTAGCTCATTTGAATGTCCTTCATGATCAGTCCTCTTTTTTCTGATCAGAACCAGTGAGGATTTTTTATTCCTCCATTTTACTGCAAAAATTGAGCACTTCCATCGTCTAATACATTGGTTGAGTTTATGCATGCAAAATGGGTGTAGCTAAAATTTTCTTGTGGATAGATTAAATCCAATGGATATCTAGTTATTGATTCAAAGTCGATTGACTTTTCTACACAGTTATGGCTCCGTTTGGTTTAATTTTTTAAATGAATTTTGAGTTGCATTTTAAAAGATAAGTTGTTGAAAAAAGTTTGGGCAAATTACAAACACTCCCCTCGAGGTTTGGTAAAAATACAGATTCCCCCCTGAGGTTTGAGAAATTACAAATTGCCTCCTGAGGGTCAAATTTTCATAACAAATTAGGAGAAATTAGGGGGGAATCTGTATGAAAATAAAAACCTCAGGGGGCAATTTGTTATAGAAATATAAACCTTAGGGGGTGGGATGTAATTTCTCAAACTTCAGGGAGAATCTGTATTTTCATCAAACCTCAAGGGGGGTGTTTGTAATTTGCCCAAAAAGTTTTGAAAGTTAAAAATTTGTTTAATTACGAGTTTTGAAGATAGTTTTTTTTGATGATTTGTAATTTTTTTTTTTTTTTTTTTAGTTGAATATAGATGTAAGAAAAAATTTAATTAATTGATGTGTAGAATATGAGAGAGAAGAGAGGAGAGAGAAAAAAATGATTGATTGATTTATTAATAATAAAAAAAGGAGAAACGAGAGAGGAAATTGAGTTTTGAGTTATATTTTAAAAATTAATTAACTAAACAAACTTTTAAATTTTTTCATCCAAATCATGTTTTAAAAATCAAACCAAATACTACCTATGTTTTTATACAAGTTTGCCGAGGGTAAAAAATAAAAAATAAAAAAATGACTGATAGAGGCGACAAATGACCTTGGAGGCCCAAAAAAAGCTGAATGATTCTATTCACACGCAAATAATAACTTAGTACGTCCAATTAAAAAATAAAAATTTTAATTCTTATTATACTCCAGTATAAATTTAAAATAAGAACAATACACATTAAATTTTAAAATAAAATATTATTTTTTTTCATGGTACACCCAAACCGTATCATTCATATTCAAGTTTATTCATTTTCTTTTTCAAGTTTCAATTATTTTCACTTTATCTTCTTTCTCACTTCAAAATTAAAATCCATCCCATCAAAACTTATCATTATTATCAACATTATTGTTTCTTATTTAAAAAATAAAATCAAAATTTTAAGTCATGAAAAATGATTGATTTGTGACAAAAACTCAGATTGTTATTGTGAAGTTATTAATTCTATGATTGGTATATCTCAATTAGTTGCCAGACTTAAACAGCATTCCCATGATAAGAGTACACTTACTTGAAACAACTAAAACGGGAATTTTTGGGTTCAACAAATCAACTATCAATATAAAAAATAAATAAATAAATAAATAGAAGTGTGTTGACCGGATTCAACATATAATGGTGTAAAAAACAACCACTAGCTCATCTATTTTTAATATAGATTCCATAACTGTGTTAAAAATCAACAAAGCAAGCATAAACCCCAAACTAAACAAGAGTAACGATTTTATAAACTCCAGGGTGAGATGGGGATTGTAGAGGAAAATGTGAATTCCCATTAGAACGTCAGGGTGCCAATTGTCCGTTTGGTGTAGCTGTTAAAACAACTTATAGATTATAACTTAACAGATTATAGATTATGACTTTAATCAGAAGTTGTTAATCTGTTTGGTGTAACTGTTGGATTATAGATTTAAGTTGCTGAGTAGTGTTTGTTAAATAAACTGTAAAATAGCTTTTTTAATTAATTTTTATTTTTTGTTTTACATTTCTCATAAAAAATAATAATAATAATCTATAGTCCATTTGAGTCTTTTTTTATTTTTAAAAAAATAAAAAATAAAAAAATTTAAGAGTATAATCATAAATTAACATGTCCACAGCAGAAGCTGATAATATTAATCAGAAGCAAGGGGTGAGCAGCTTCTCAGAATCAATTTTTTTGAGTTAAAATAAACTGTTAGAATCAGAAACTGTTTGAAATAAATTTAACCAAACAATCCAAAATAACTTTTTCAAAGCTAAAAGCCATAAGTTGACTCTGAAAAACTGAAACAAACACCGCCAATGAGACGCCTTTAACTTTGCCTGATGATTAGAATACCATGGTGCACAGAGTCAGCAAATAAATCACTCAGTAATAATGAGTTTCTCCTGAATGTTTAAACAGGACCTAGACAATGCAAACTAATATGCGATGCTCTAATGACGAATGAGAGAGAGAGAGATGATGTAGTATAATATAAAAAATTTAATTTGTTTATTATTTGTATGTACTTTGAAGGGTAATTTGGGGGAAAAAAACATGAGAAGTAAATTATAATCCTAAATAATTTAATAAAGTGTACTAAGAAATTGGGCAAACTTGATTTTTTGGGTACAAATAGAATTCTCCAAAGAACATTTAGATTGCAATGATAGACAATGGTCTAGAAAAGCCCCAGAAATCTGAATAAAAACAAGTCTCATTCTAAAATTTAAATATATATCAATAGAGCGACGATCCAATTGACCATCATTGCCATGGCATCTATCAAGACCAGCATGTGAACTTCCTCTGTTGAAAATCCCTTCATCTGGGAAAATAAATTCTTCAGACCGATGCTAGTGTTTGTTATTGGGTACCATTCTCCTTGAAGAAGCCAAAGATGAGGCGAAAAGAACTGCATTATCATTACAGTTGCAAAGAAAATTCTTGTTGGATAAGGCTGATCTATGGCCTCTCCGGGAATGCTTTACGATTAAAACAGCTTATAGATTATAACTTAACAGATTATAGATTATGACTTTAATCAGAAGTTGTTAATCTGTTCGGTGTAGCTGTTGGATTATAGATTTAAGTTGTTGATTAGTGTTTGTTAAATAAGCTGTGAAATAACTTTTTGAATTAACTTTTATTTTTTATTATTCATTATTTGTCTACATTTCTCATAAAAAAATAATAATAAATTAACATGTCCATAGTAGAAACTGATAATCAAAAACAAGGGGTGAGTAATTTCTCAGAATCAACTTTTTTGAGTTAAAATAAATTGTTAAAATCAGAAGCTGTTTGAAATAAGTTTAACCAAACAGTCCAAAATAACTTTTTCAAAGCTAAAAACCATAAGTTAACTCTGAAAAATTGAAACAAACGCCAACAATGAGACGCCTTTAACTTTGCCTGACAGATTAGAATACCATGGTGCACAGAGTTAGCAAATAAATCACTCAGTAATAATGAGTTTCCCCTGAATGTTTAAACCGGACCTAGACAATGCAAACTAATGTGCAATGCTCTAATGACGAATGAGAGAGAGAGATGATGTAGTATAATTTAAAATTTTTAATTTGTTTATTATTTGTATGTACTTTGAAGGGTAATTTGGGGGAAAAAAAACATGGGAAGTAAATTATAATCCTAAATAATTTAATAAAACGTACTAAGAAATTGGGCAAACTTGATTTTTTGGGTACAAATAGAATTCTCCAAAGAACATTTAGATTGCAATGATAGACCATTGTCTAGAAAAGCCCCAGAAATCTGAATAAAAACAAGTCTCATTCTAAAATTTAAATATATATCAATAGAGCGACGATCCAATTGACCATCATTGCCATGGCATCTATCAAGACCAGCATGTGAACTTCCTCTGTTGAAAATCCCTTCATCTGGGAAAATAAATTCTTCAGACCGATGCTAGTGTTTGTTATTGGGTACTATTCTCCTTGAAGAAGCCAAAGATGAGGCGAAAAGAACTGCATTATCATTACAGTTGCAAAGAAAATTCTTGTTGGATAAGGCTGATCTATGGCCTCTCCGGGAATGCTTTTATGAGAGAACCAGACTAGTAGAGGGTCAATACAATAGTGCCGCCACCAAGAAAGAACCAGTTGACATTTGAGTAGGGACTGAGGTCCCCAAAGATGCTGCAATCCCCAACTAGACCCCAAACAAATGCCATCCACAGGGCGTGTCCACATATATAATTACTAATACAAGTGTGAAATGTTCCCAGAAGGAACCACCTGAAATGTGATCAGTTTAGCTTTCAGTACAAACATTGTTCTATTCTAGGTTCAAATCTTCATTTAGTTAGAAATGTTAAAGCTAGTTAAATGGCATAATAGGATTTCAAAAGAAAGAAAATTTTGTCTCAAAATGTTCCAAAATTGAGTTTGTTTACCTTCCCATTCCATTGATAGGCACTGGAGTTGCAGAAAAGAGCGGCAAATCTGACACCATATGTCCCGATATTCTCGTCAAGAGGAGAGTCGGAATCAACCATTTTCTACATATCGTTTACTGAACCACTCGACATGAAGAAATCATTGCAAAATTATTAAAAAGTTATTGGATTTGTAGATGTTGTACAATGGCAAACATTGGCTGTGGCAAACCATGAGGTAGCTAGTGAACTCCCAAGGTATGTGATCCAAATGCTCTCTACATTCAAATCTTAAGATGCCAATTGCAAGGCCTTGGAAGCCTCTGAGCCACTGATGAACGTTGAGGAAGAACTGGGTCCTCGTCGTGTCACCTTTGGTTCTGTGCTCATCCTCGTGACTTTGGTTCTGTGCTCGTCCTCATGTAAAGCCCTGCAACATATTGGTATGGTAATACATACAATAAATGCGATGCAATGACCCATTACCAGATTTAACTACTTAACTGAATTAAAGTTCACACACACCGGTCAAGTCAGATAACAAAATAAATCCGAAAACAACAGCTGCCAAGGAAACTGGACAAGGAATAATTTTTCAAGACATGAACACCTAACGAGACCTGAACCAAATTACCCGACCACTGCATTTCTCCGGCGTGGAACCCTCTATTCCAAAAATTCATATACCTCTGTTACCGATATATTTCCAGCCACGCAATTGTGTCTCAAGATTTTTGACAAGAATTATAGGGACACAAGATCCCTGGTCCATTTGGAAAAGCCCTGTACACACCTAAATGTGAAGAAATTATCAATATTATGATCTTTTCAACATAATAGTAACATCATGGGTAACTATAATTAT